AGGAGGAGGAGGAGGAGGAAAAAGATGACGATGGAAGTGGTGGTTCAGATGAAGAATTGTCAGAGTTTGTCGTCGGCGGAGAGGAGGAGGAAGAGGAAGAAGCGGGCGGGGGCGATGGTTGGTGCAGTTCGAGAGGCACAGTTGATCCGAAGATGTCCAACAAGACCGATTCGAGACCCGAATGTCCGTTGACATCGAGGACACGTTGGGAGCGTTTGTGTGGCGGCGTTGCGTACTGGGCGAGATTGTGATTTGCGGGCTTCGCTTTTCACATTGGCGGCGGCGATGCGGTTGGCTTCGTAGATAGCAGCGCCCGTCTTCACTGTTCACCTCCATGTCGGACGATCGCGGGCGAGCTCTTCCCAGTTGGTCGGGTTGATTTACAGGTGCTTCAGGGAGGACTTCAAGGTATCCTTGTAACGGCGAATTTGGCCTCCTTGACGACGAGAACCCGTCGCGACGTCTCCGTAGAAGAGTCGTTTGGGTAGTTGCTCGTCGTCCATGCGCACCAGGTGGCCGCTCCAGCGCAGCTGCTGCAGGTTAGATGATACTTGGTAGCCCTCCTGACACCGCAAACTCCCAGCTGCCTGTTAATCGGGACCGGTGGTAATAGGGGCCATGCGGGTGGGACAGTTGAGTGGACGGGTAAATGGCGATTGTAGTATATGCTAGTAATTGACGCTCCAGGTAAAGTGGAAGCCTAATTTAGATTAGGTGAAACATACAAGGAAAGTGTGGAAATGAGCAAGGAGACGTTGAACGGTGTGCGGAATAAATGCATCCTAGCCTCAGATTGGAAGGAATAGCAAGTGATGGCGAACAGCCAATGGGAAGAAGGCAACTGGTCCGAAGGTCATTCCGCAGTGTGTTCGATAGAACTCCATCCAGCATAATGGAGAGAAGAACACGAGAGTCAAGCAGCGGCACGCGGGACGCCACAACTTAAGCCGGGTAAGACTTTTATGCGAAAAATTGGTTTGGGCGGAAGAGAAAATCCGCAAATAATGAGGCAGTCGAAAGCTACCTCTGCTAATAAAACTAGATAAAGGGTAAGCCCCATCGTCATCGTTACCGGTGCCAATCCACCCAAGATAGTACCTCTAAAATGAATGAGGCAGTCGAAAGCTACCTCTTCTTATGAAAGTTGATGTAGGGAAAGCCTCATTGTCATCTTCACCGGTGCCAATCCGCCCAGGATGGTACCTCCACAATGAATCTGGTACAGGTAATACAGCGTAAATTTAGAAGCATAATGATAACGTAATCATAGCTACTGAAATCAGGCCAGTAGGTACAATTGTGGATTCTGTGGGCACGGCAGCCAAATACAAATTCTAATGAAAGCTGACATAGGTTAAGCCTCATTTTGATCGTTACCGGTGAAAATCTGCACAGGATAGCACCTCTAAAATGAATCTGATACAGGCAATACAGCGTGCACGTGAATTTAGAAGCATAATGAGAACGCAATCACAGCTACTTAAATCGAGCCAGTAGGTACCATTCGGGAGTCTCGGGGCACGGCTACCAACTATCAACTTACCCAGCTGCATTTGCCTCAGTATGGCGTAGATGCTGAGGATTCCCGTTCGTTCCAGTACTTCCGTGTCGGGGATTCGATCCTGCCAGTTCAGCCTCAGGATGCGGCGAAGACAGCTGAGGTGGAAGTGGTTTAGTCGACGTGCCTGCCTCGTGTACACCGTCCAGGTCTCTGCTCCGTACTTTAACGTCGGCAGGATGACGGCCTTGTACATCTTCAGCTTTGTGCTCAGTTGGAGACCATGGCGATTACAAACTGTGTTTCGGAGGCGACCGAAGACTTGACTGGCTCTCGAGATCCTGTTGGCGACTTCGTCGTCGATCTTGGTGTTGCGGGAGAGCGTGCTGCCCAGGTACGGGAAGTTCTCTACCACTTGCAGTTCAGTCCCATTCACGTTGATTTGCGGCGGCGCGTTGGGGGCTGTGGCTGAGTTGGGTGGCGGTTGGAGAATCAACAATGTATTCTGCGTGTTGATAACCAGCCCAAAGTTCTTGCAGGCGGCGGAGAATAGGTCCATGCTCCGTTGCATCTCCGCTTCCGAGGTGGTGTTCAGGGCGCAGTCGTCGGCGAAGAGGAGTTCGTGCATGGTGGCTGTGGATACACGCGATTGGAAGTTCATGCGCCGGTGATTCAGGAGATGACCGTCCGTTCTGTAGGCGATGCGGATTCCAGGGCGTTCGTAGCGGTAGGCGTACATCAGCATGGCAGAGAACATAAGACTGAAGAGGGTAGGCGCCAGCACACAGCCCTGCTTCACTCCGTTGGTCACTGCGAACGCCTCTGAGACAGCTCCGTTGTCCGTGACTTGCGCCATCATACCGTCGTGCAGCTGACGCACCATCTGAGCGAATCGCTCCGGACAGCCGAATTTCTGCATGATCTTCCACAGTCCTTCACGATTCACCGTGTCGAAGGCTTTCGTCAGGTCCACGAAGGTAGAGTACAGATGGGTCCGCATCTCCTGGCACTTCTCCTGAAGTTGGCGGGCTGCGAAGATCATATCCGTGGTCCCACGATGACGACGGAAGCCGCATTGGCTTTCCGGCAGAAGGCCCTGTTCCAGATGGTTATTGAGGCGGTTGAGCAGGATGCGAGCGAAGATCTTCCCGGCGATGTTCAGGAGGGAGATGCCGTGGTGATTGTCGCAGACTTGGCGATACCCTTTGCGCTTGTATAGGTGCACGATGGTTGCGTCCCTGAAATCTTGCGGGACTTCACCTTGACGCCACATCTCCTGGAAGAGCGCAGTCAGGTGATCCATCAGTAGGGGACCTCCGTGCTTGTAGACCTCAGCAGGGATTGCGTCCGATCCGGGTGCTTTCCCGCTGGAGAGTTGCTGCACGGCCCTGATGGTCTCCTGGAGAGATGGCGGGAGGTCGAGGTCCACGTTGGTCGCCACTTGCGGCAAGCGGGCGATGGCGGCGTCGGAGATGACGAAGGGGCGGTTGAGGACGCCTCGGAAATGCTCGGCCCATCGCTGTAGGATTTGCGACTTCTCAGTCAGGAGAGTACTGCCGTCGGCGCTGAGGAAAGGAGCAGTGCCCTTCGTCGGCGGACCGTAGACGGCTTTGATCGCAGAGAAGAAGTTCTTCCATTCGTTGAGGTCCGCGTAGCCTTGGATCTCCTCAGCTTTGCGAGCAGTCCAGGCGTCCTGCATCTCGCGCAGTCGTTGCTGAAGCTGTCGGCGACTTCGGTAGAATGCAGCTTTGTTGTCCTCAGTGGGGTGATCTACGTAGGCTTTGTGTAGGCGGTTCTTCTCCGCAAGCAGATTGCTGATGGCGGCGTCGTTGTCGTCGAACCAGTCCTGGTGTTGGCGGGGAGCGCGACCGAGGACGGCGAGCGCCGTCGACTGGACCGTGTCTCGCAGTTGAAACCAGCGGTTCTCCACGGAAGCGTTCTCAGCAGCGGCGTCGGCGGCAACAGCAGCAGCGATTTAGAAGGTTGTCTAGCTGTTGAGCCAGCCCATTGCTGAAATGAAGATGGTGAGCTGGCAAGGACAACAAGGCAACATTCAGCCTACATGGGGGTCGCTTACCTTGTGGTCTCCTGCGAGGCTGTAGGCGAATACGCATCTTCGAGATGACAAGGCGATGGTCGGTCCACCCGTCAGCACCCGCGATCGCCTTCGTCACCAGCACGTCCCGCTGATCTCGCCTGCGAACGAGGACATAGTCCAGTAGGTGCCACTGACGCGACCGAGGATGCCTCCAGGTGGCCTTCTCTCGCTCCGGCAGACAGAAGAAGGTATTCGTCAGGGTGAGGCGGTGTTCTGCGCAGGTGCGGAGGAGAAGCAGGCCGTTGACGTTGGAGCCGCGGAGACCGTGGGGACCCAGCACTCCTCTCCAGGCAGTATGGTCTGTGCCGACGCGAGCGTTGAAGTCGCCAAGGACAATCAACTTGTCCGCCTTCGACACAGTCGCCAAGAGTGCATGCAGGTCCTCGTAGAATTTGTCTCTTGCGGCGACGTCGGGGCTGCTCATCGGCGGAGCGTAGGCGCTGATGATGGTGGCGAACTTGCCTCCTCGCCGGAGAGGCAGACGGAGACTCATCAGACGGTCGTTGATTCCTTGCGGCAAACAGGGCAGTCGTCCCACGATGTCGGTCCGGATGGCGAAGGCGACGCCCGCGTCTCGTCGCTCTGCCCTGGGTCGACCACTTCAGAAGAAGGTGTAGCCAGCACCCACCTCCTCCAGTTGGCCTTGCTCGGAGAATCGGGTCTCGCTGAGTGCGGCGATGTCCACCTTGTAGCGCACCAGTTCTCGTGCCACTAGCGCCGTCCTCCGTTCCGGTCGGTTGCTCCTCGGATTGTCTAAAAGGGAACGAATATACGAGGCTGCCAGAGTGAGCGCGCTCACCCTGTCAGTCTGGGGAAAACGAGTCGGGCGACGGGAAGGAGGTGGAGAAGAAGATGACGAAGGAGAAGAATAGGCAGAAGAAAAGACGGAGGAAGAGGCAGAAGGGTTTGGATGAGGAGAATGAGAATGGTTGTTGTTGTTGTTGTTGTTGTTGTTGTTGTTATTGGTATTGTTGTTGTTTAGATTTTGATTGTTTCGACCGTTTTGATGGCATCTGCGGCCTTGGCTGGCCTGCAGACGGCGTGGTGCCCAGCAATGTTTAGGCCACCTTTTCTAGGCCCTCCCCCGTAATGGGGGCAGGCAGTGCTGTCCCTGAATCGGGCTGCCCATGTGCCTGGTTGGCGCGACCGAATCCCACTATGGGACCGCGACTTTATGTTTGTAGTGGGGAACGACCGCATATGCCGAGGTCTGCGGTCTCCGTCGGCGTAGGTATGCGGGTCTCAGCGAAGGCGATGCGGGGACCCATCCCGGCAGCAGCTGTCCAACGGCGTACCAGGCAGAGCCTCGTCTCGACGACGCCGGCGCAACGTTTCATCCGACCAAACGTCCAGCGGAGCCCGCAGTACACTGTGCACGCGGCACAAGAGCACAGCGCCCTCACCTGGTTTAGCCCGCCGGTCGAGGCGGTTGCCCGGGGTGTGGCCGCTGAGCAGAGCCCAGCTACGTGGAGCCACAGGTGAGAGTTGGGTGCCAGCAAATGGACGCTAGGTGTAGTCTCACCTGCAAGCAAGTGAGCGACCACTACGACCATCAAGCCCACACACACACACACCAGGATTTCACACAACGGGGGTTTAACGGCGTGTCTCTCACTAGCGTGAGGGTGCCGTGGAAGGTGCTGTTTCAGCCCGTCCCCAGCCCACCAGTCCGCCACTACACACAACACACACACAACGCTACGATCTACGTGAACCGAGTGGGGGCGTCAATCAGCAACCATCCTATCCACGACGCTTGACTTGTCGGGATAGTCTCAGACCTAAGTCACCCGTGCAGCCGGAGCCGCATGGAAGCAGAGTGAAGATGCACACTTCCCACTTGTGTGGGAGGTGGCAGTTGGGTGCTTGCGGTGGGTGAGTGTTTGTGTGTGGAGGAGGCAGTGCGGGATGGTGTTGTGGTGTGGTGTAGCCGGCGGTTGTCTACCGCAGGTCGTCGTGGATGCGCATGTGGCCGAATAGACCCATGCGATGCGTGAAGGTGCGAGGGCAGTGTGGGCAGTGTAGGCGGGTGCGGTGGGTGTAGGTTGGTGCTCCAGGCACTGGTTCGCCAGTCTCTCTGCGATGGATTCGCAAGTGACTGACCTGACAACACACAGGCAAATATTCTACGAGATGCAAATATGTCACGGCGCAGACTCAAAGGGAGACTCCCTGCAGCTCGCATTACTAGACCAACTAAGTCCTACTAAAACAAATATGGTGGTAGTTTGCGCATATTACACCCAGTGGAGTGACACAGCCCATCCTTACCTCCTTATCACCTAAAACACAATCCATGAAAACAGTCATTTTGCACTCCTTTGTCAACAAGCCATGTCTTCTTCAAATGGGAACGTTAGAGAAGATCCGTCTTTCGGTTCAAAAATTTTTTTAATTTCTGCGTAAGTTAAATCCCGCTGACATTTACGGTAGGCCTTTGGACTTCCAATATACATTCTATATATTTTCCTTCCAAATATACTGTTTTCATTAGTTGTAGTTTAGTTAATAATGAGGTAAATATAACTTGTGTAGCTACATTTGGTCAAGACTGTCACCGGGGTGTGGTCGCTATGCAAAGCCTTGCTTCGGGGAAAATGTGTGACTTCTGTCAGAAAATAAAGATCGAATGACAACTTGCTTCTATAATTAATACTGCACGAGTAAGTTCGCCTTCGTCGAGGCGAACTTCAACTGTCAGCACACTTATATCTGTCATATAAATGCGCTTTTATATCTCAGCCTACACCACCTAGTGACAGCGAAAATACCACAGTAAAAAAAAAACTTCAGGGCGCACCAGAACAATTTTGAAAATATTTTCAGTCGATCCAGCAACACGGTATAAAGATCTGTATCTACTCTGCCTTTAATATAACAAGAGTTTTCACAGTGTGTCTCAGTTAACCGCCATAGTCGCTACCGTTCCCCGGGTAGACAGGCTGCTCGACCCCGTCAGCCACTGAACCCACACGGCATTACCGGTTGGCCGCTTGGTTGCCGGACAGACCACTGACGCATTAGAGAATAAATTCAAAATGAAGTCAGCAGGGGATAATCCATCCTCATGGCAAAAATGCACACTTCCTAATTCAATATACCCGAGTCACTTAGGCCTGCTCCGACGCACTACCAGTCGTAGCTTCCAAAGCCCAACCAAAATTATCGTGACAAATCGGTCCTTATCAGGACTGAGAGGAAGACAAGAAGTGGCTATTACGAGATCCACATTGCAGCCTGGCGCATAGAGGACGTGTAGGTAGGTGCGTTACTTGGCTTTATCAGCTGACGCACAGAATCACATCACCGGTTGACTGACAGCCTCACAGAGTCAACTAGTAAATGATCACAAACATCAGAATAGCCAGCAGTGATGCAAAGCCCACCCAAAACTAGCTCCGGTGAGGCGGATTTGAAACACCGACCTAAGGATCACTGCTGCACAACTACAGTCCTCCGCTCTACCAGCTGAGCTATCATCGGATGACGGCTGAATGTGCTGACCTCCCAAAGTGCATTTGGACCGATTCATAGGTTAGGTTGTCTGTCTGCACTCCACAGTACGTTCTTCTATACAGTCTGCATTTTCGTAAGTCTTTTTCTTGGAGAATTCTCATTGTTTGGTGGCAGCGCACAATTTGAGCAGACCTTCATTTGGCATATCAGGGCCCCTACTGCGCCTGCACGTTTTGACGTGTTCCCTGTGATATCGACTGCAATTCTAACAGAGCTGACTAGACCAAATAAGCAGTCCTTGTGCACTCTGAGATGTCCTTGTAATCCGCTGTTTCCACTGTCGTAGTCATCCGGTGATAGCTCAGCTGGCAGAGCGGAGGACTGTAGTTGGGTAACAGTAATCCTTAGGTCGGTGGTTCAAATCCGCCTCACCGGAGCTAGTTTTTGTTGAACTTTGTACCAGATCAGTTAGCTGGTGGACTGCTTAGATTTTCCTATGTTCGTGGCTGACGCAAAGCAAGTGCGTGTACTGAGTGAGCATAAGGAACGATTACACCATGTGGCTCTGCTACTAGATGTGATACTTGACTGGGATGTAGGACCAGAAGAGTGCAAGGAACTTGTGGGACACATGAAATATAGGAAAATGGGCAACAGTTTTGCTGCCTTGATGAGGGTTCAAATGTCAAATAGCCTTAGGAAGCCCTCTTAAAAAGGGGTTCGCATTGCAATTCAATTCCTCCTATTGACATCAATCACGTTCCTCCAGTTACTTACCAGCCAACTTGTCTGGCATAAAGTTCAACCAAATCTAGCTCCAATGAATCGGATTTAAACCACCGACGTAGGAATAACTGTTGCACAACTACAGTCCTCAGATCTTTCATCGACGGATTGTAAGTACATGACGAAACTGCATTTCGACCCGTCCAAAATCTAGTTTAGCGGCTTGTACTCAGCGCAAATCCACCTCCCACGATATCCTTTTCTCAGTAGTCAAAGTGTTCAGTTATGAAACTGAGCACTGATTGCGAGCTGGATCAACGCCACACTCCCTTCACCCCGCAAATTTCCAGCCACCAGACCCCAACAAGTCGATAGGGGATACTTAATAAGTGTTTTAGTAGATTAGATCTAGAGGCTGATGGAAAAAGTAAACCCCGTCTGACGTGTACCAGACGCAAACATTTACACCAACATGATAATTAGGTTGTCGCTAGAGATATTGTCCACCTTCTTGCCACTGGAGTGTGGTATATCGGTGAGGCAGATTGCGCCCTATCTATTCGGATGCAGTGGCAGAAAGAGACAAACATTCCGCCTTCATGTGCCACACACACACACACATACGACAGTTCGACCGTCGATTTCGACGATGTCCACCGTATGCCCCACAGCTGCAGCAGCGGTGGGAGCAGGGACGGTGACTTACGCAGGGGTTTATAGTGCCAGTAGACTTGCGTAGCATCTACCTACACGCTCTCCTCCTCCCACGCCTGGGCCCAGTGTCAAGACAGAGTCAAGAAGACCGGAGACGAGGGAGGCCGCAGGTGGATGGCTCGGACGGATCCTCACCTTGGCGTTCCACCACACCCCCTGGTCCACACAACAATAACCAGGATTTCAACCAACACAACAGAGATTTGGAGGCTGGCACGGCCGAAGCCGCACCTAGGCGTGCTGCCAACGCCTGTCTCGGATCCCACGCTGTGGTGGGAATGCCATAAAGGCCACATTAAAAAGGAGCCATTGCAGCCTGACTCTCAGACCGCCTCCGGTCAAGGAGGAGGTCCAAGTTACCCCGTCAGTTGGCAACCTTCCAAGCCACGGCTTTTAGCGCACCGTGATAGCTTCAAGCGCGTCAGATAGTTTATAGTGATGAGAAAGTGCGCTGAGTCGTCGACCTCACTCTCCCTTCCCATTCCCACACCCCAGCCGCTGTCCGAGCCGGTCAGTAGACTGGAGTAAGGAATGGGCGCGGTGGCTGACATGGTCGACTGACCATGCCTGCGCGCGCCACAGCACGACCTGGCCCCCCATACACACAAACACCAGGATTTCACACAACGGGGGTTGAACGGCGTGTCTCTCACTTGCGTGAGAGTGCCGTGGAAGGTGCTGTTGCAGCCCGTCCCCAGCCCACCAGTCCGCCACTACACAAAACACACACACACACACACACACACACACAACGTGACGAACTGCGTGAACCGAGAGCGGGCCTCAATCAGCAACCTTCCTATCCACGACACTCGACGTGTCGGGATGGTCTCGGACACGAGTCACCCGTGCAGCCGAAACCGCATGGGGACCGAGTCGAGATGCACACTTCCCACTTGCGTGAGAGGCGGCAGTTGAGTGCATGAGGTGTGTGAGGGTTGATGTCTGGTGGGGTGATGGTGTTAGGAGGTAGGGGGTGAGGGAATGTGTGGTGTGACCGGCGGTTGTCTACCGCAGGTCGTCGTGGATGCGCATGTGGCCGAATAGACCCTTGCGATGCCTGAAGGTGCGAGGGCAGTGTGGGCAGTGGAGGCGAGTGCGGTGGGTGTAGGTTGGTGCTCCAGGTACTGGTTCGCCAGTCTCTGTGCGATGGATTCGCAAGTGACCGACCAGGCCGATGCGTGAAGTGAAGGTACGATCGCAGTGAGGGCAGATGTAGTCCTGGCCCTCGCGTCTGATTATGGAGGTTGCAGGGGTTGTGCCTGTTGTTGTGTCAGGTGTGGCTGTGGTGAGGTCGTGGGCGACAGACGCCGAAGCGGCCGTCGTTGTGGCAGTGAAGGAGGAAGAGGAGGAGGAAGGGGAGGAGTGAGGGGTGGTAAGGTCGGTGGCGTCGATGTCGGCTGGGGAGTGGTTAGTGGGTGCACAAGGTGGTGGATTGAGAGTGGGGCTCGGCGGGGTGGGTGTGTCAAGGCTGCGGTCAATTCCGCTCTCGTGGATGCGCATGTGGCCGAATAGGCCCATGCGATGCCGGAAGGTGCGAGGGCAGTGTGGGCAGTGTAGGCGGGTGCGGTGGGTGTAGGTTGGTGCTCCAGGCACTGGTTCGCCAGTCTCTCTGCGATGGATTCGCAATTGACTGACCTGACAACACACAGGCAAATATTCTACGAGATGCAAATATGTCACGGCGCAGACTCAAAGGGAGACTCCCTGCAGCTCGCATTACTAGACCAACTAAGTCCTACTAAAACAAATATGGTGGTAGTTTGCGCATATTACACCCAGTGGAGTGACACAGCCCATCCTTACCTCCTTATCACCTAAAACACAATCCATGAAAACAGTCATTTTGCACTCCTTTGTCAACAAGCCATGTCTTCTTCAAATGGGAACGTTAGAGAAGATCTGTCTTTCGGTTCGAAAATTTTTTTTTAATTTCTGCGTAAGTTAAATCCCGCTGACATTTACGGTAGGCCTTTGGACTTCCAATCTACATGCTATATATTTTCCTTCCAAATATACTGTTTTCATTAGTTGTAGTTTAGTTAATAATGAGGTAAATATAACTTGTGTAGCTCCATTTGGTCAAGACTGTCACCGGGGTGGGGTCGCTATGCAAAGCCTTGCTTCGGGGAAGATGTGTGACTTCTGTCAGAAAATAAAGATCGAATGACTACTTCCTTCCATAGGTAATACTGTAGGAGTAATTTCGACTTCGTCGAGGCGAGCTTCAACCGTCAGCTCCCTTATATCTGTCATATAAATGCGGTTTTATATCTCAGCTTCCTCCACCTAGGGACAACGCGAAAATAACACAGTAAAAAGCCTTCAGAGTGCACCATAACAATTTTGAAAATTTCTTCAGTCGATCTAGCAACACGGTATAAAGATCTGTATCTACTCTGCCTTTAAACTAACAAGAGTTTTCAAAGTTTGTCTGCATTAACCGCCATAGTCGCTACCGTTCCCCGGGTAGACAAGCTGCTCGACCCCGTCAGTCACTGAACGCACCCGGCATCACCGGTTGGCCGCTTGGTTGCCGGACAGACCACTGACGCATTAGAGAATAAATTCAAAATGAAGTCAGCAGGGGATTATCCATCCTCATGGCAAATATGCACACTTCCTAATTCAATATACCCGAGTCACTTAGGCCTGCTCCGAGGCACTAACATTCGTAGCTTCCAAAGCCCAACCAAAAGTATCGTGACAAATCGGTCCTTATCTGGACCGAGAGGAAGACAAGAAGTGCAATAATCAGTATGATTTCAATGCTGATAGAGATTATGCTCTGTCAGTGTGACCATGTCGTAAGAATACGCGGTTAGCGTCTGCCAAACAGACTCTGTCATGCAGTCGTCGCCATCGGTAGTTGGGTAGCAGTAATCCTTAGGTCGGTGGTTCAAATCCGCCTCACCGGAGCTAGTTTTTGTTGAACTTTGTACCAGATCAGTTAGCTGGTAGACTGCTTAGATTTTCCTATGTTCGTGGCTGACGCAAAGCAAGTGCGTGTACTGAGTGAGCATAAGGAACGATTACACCATGTGGCTCTGCTACTAGATGTGATACTTGACTGGGATGTAGAACCAGTAGAGTGCAAGGAACTTGTGGGACACATGAAATATATGAAAATGGGCAACAGTTTTGCTGCCTTGATGAGGGTTCAAATGTCAAATAGCCTTAGGAAGCCCTCTTAAAAAGGGGTTCGCATTGCAATTCAATTCCTCCTATTGACATCAATCACGTTCCTCCAGTTACTTACCAGCCAACTAGTCTGGCATAAAGTTCAACCAAATCTAGCTCCAATGAATCGGATTTAAACCACCGACGTAGGAATAACTGTTGCACAACTACAGTCCTCAGATCTTTCATCGACGGATTGTAAGTACATGACGAAACTGCATTTCGACCCGTCCAAAATCTAGTTTAGCGGCTTGTACTCAGCGCAAATCCACCTTTTCCTCTTTCCTCTTCTCAATAGTCAAAGTTTCCATTTAAGAAAAGTGAGCACTGATTGTGAGCTAGGTCAACTCCACACTCCCTTCACTCCGGTAATTTCCAGTCACCCGACCCCAGCAAGTCGACAGGGGCTACTTAATAGGTCTTTTAGTGGATTAGGTCTAGAGGCTGATGGAAAACGTAGACCCGGTCTGACGTGTACCAGGCGGAAACATTCACACCAACATGACAATTAGGTCGTCACAAGCGATAGTGTCCACCTTATTGCCAGTGGAGTGTGCTATATCGGTGAGGCAGTCTGCGCCCTCTCTCGTCCCTCTGGTTTTGAATGTTCCCTTGATGGGATAGTCTCGATTAATTGGCTCGCCGTAGGCTTAAAGTTTCCTGCGTGCCAATAAGTGGACAATCTGAGGGAAGGAAGGCAATTGTAAAGTAAAAACGCCGGCACTACAGTCGACGGAAAAGCAAATAGGAGGGACCGAAAACTAAGCGAATTGAAGTTACGTCGGACGCCTAAGTCGGGAAAATGTGCAAGGTACGGAACGCCCTGGAATGAAGGGAGTGGGGCCGCCGACTTAAATCCCGTGTTGTAGGAAGGGGGAGTAGGCGAGGCGAATGGCGGATGTCCAAGGGGACCACCAGTAGGGCTTTGCGACTGTAGTACCCGCGGATTACTGAAGGATGGCATCGGACATCCGATAAGGAGCAGTTATCATGCCTGATTCAGTCGGCGGAGAGAATGACACGAGTAGAATGTCTGCCCAGGTAGGTCACTGACCCTACTCCGTTCACCAATGAATTTGTCCATAACACCTCAGGGAAGCGCTGCATTCTTGCCATTTAAAGGCAGCAGAGCGACGCCGCTTATAGAATGAAACAGGAGGAAGGTAGCTCCACCTTCTTTAATTCGCAAATGGATGTGATATTCTTTCGTAAGACCAAAGCTCGCCTGACCGCTTCTACTGTCAATTCCTAGTTGATGCTCTTTTCTGCAGGTTCAGTTCCCCATATCGTCAGCACCGTCAATACTACCGCGTGGAATTTCAATGTCCGATGCTAAAAAAAGAGTTTCCGTCAATATACCTGCAAATCCATCAGAGCACAGCTGGGAGTAGCATCCGTCGAGTTAGTAGAGTAACGAAGGCGACAGTGCAATGGGTGGTGGGCAGCCCTGCACCTCTAGAACCCTGTTCTCTCGTTACTCACAACTCACATTCCCATCTATAAACAACAACCTGTGCTTCTATACTACCATGACGACGCACAAACAGCCATGGTCTGACAAGCAGTCAACCAAAGGCAGAAGTCAGGGAACAAACGTCGAAAATGTCAGAGGTGGTACTAACTCGACCAGCCAACCGGTCTGGCACGAAGCTCGACAGAGCTACATGACTGTGTTGCTTTCATAATGCAACCACAATTTCGTGCTTCTTAGCTGTGTAGCTCGCACAACTGACTCCTGTCAACTGTCACTTTCTGTCATACTTTTCTCCTGCCAGAAAACAATATCTTTAAAAATAATATTTGGTTGTCTAACAAGGGATGAGATGTGTATAGCTTGAACATAACTTCATTTGGCATAGCAGAACCCCGTCTGTGTCTGTGTCTCCGAGGTTTCGACTTCAAATCGAGTAGGGTTGACTAAATCAAACTAGACAATTGCTTGGGCATTTGGAAATGCCGTTGTGTTCTGTCGTCTCCACTGTCGTATTCATCCGGTGATAGCTGAGCTGGCAGAGCGGAGGACTGTAATTGTGTAGCAATTATCCTTAGGTCGGTGGTTCAAATCCGCCTCACTGGAGCTAGCTTTTGTTTGAATGTGGGTTAGAACTGTTGGTTGATTGGGTGCTCAGATCTCCTTTCGTTCCTGCCGAAGACAAAGCCAGCCAACATACTGAGTAAACATAAAGAACGACTAAACTGCTTTCTTCTGCTAACAGACGCAGTACTTGACTCAAATGAAGTTCAAGGGGACTTCTGGGATGAATGAAATCTTGCGAAATGGTGAACTATGTAGGTACACGTACGTGTCCTGGCATCATTTCAACGTTAATTTGCGTGAGGGAGTCCTGAAAGCGAGAGTGAGGGAATTGAGCATAACAATTGGAACTGTCCGACCGCCAATGGTCCGCGTGTTCGGATGGACTCGGAAGCACTCGCGGTGACGAATAGGATGAAGTAGGACTGTATAATTGCTTCCGTCCTTTTCTGTCTCTTAATAGCCACCTCTCTGACGGAGGCCCTCCCTAAGGAGCGAGAGGGAATCAATATCGCCTTGACGTCAGACTCCATGTCTCGTTCCTACTGCAAGCGTACGATCCACCTTGCCATCGCCAGTAGGGCGGCCGCAACGTAGCATGCCAGGGCATGGACATTCAGTTGAAGTGTGGAGTATGTTCGTTGGCGTAGCCTGGTGCATAAAATTGGAATCAGGTCGTGTATGGGTGGGGCTGGGAGATCTATCCACGGCGTAGTTCTCAATTTAATATAATAAACGCGCCTGAATCTACCAAGACGCGATATCAGTTATGACCTTGAAG